AATTCTTTTTCTATTCCAGGTTTTTCTCTGGTTCCTCAATATTCTTTTTTCTTTGCTCTCTTTCGCCTTAAAGACAGTTCCCAAACCAAGTAAGTCACGTCTAATTGTCTTTAATCATTTCACCCAAGAAAGGCAATAAAGCCACTTAGACGCAAGAGGTTGCTAAGTGTGAAATAAAAACATTTTTCAGGAGGATAAACAATAAAAGAAGAGGAATTTAGATCTAGATCAACGATGGATTGGAAAATTCTCAAGAGGAAAGAAATTAGAAGACTTTAGTGAGGGCCTACAATAAACGAAGAGGAATTAAAAAGACAGAAGATTTTATTCCAGGTTAACATCTGGTTTTGAAGATCAATATTCTGGAAAGTAAGAAGAATGAAAAGAATTAGAAGACTTTAACAGGGGAAAGTTAAAAAAGAGAAATTAAGAAGACAGAAGATAATGATTGACATTACATTGAAATTTTTGAAGATCAAAGTTGACCCAAGAAAGGCAAGAAAAGTGAAAGAATTAAAGACTTTAGTGAGGGAAAGGAAATAAAAAAAAAGAGGAATTAGGAGACAAACAAAATAACGATTGAATTACATTGATATTTTGAAGATCAAACTTGACTGGAAAATAAGAAGAGTGAAAGAGAATTAGAAGACTTTAGTGAGGGGAAAGGACAATAAAAGAAGAAGAATTAAGAAGACAGAAGATAATGATTGACATTGCATTGAAATTTTTGAAGATCAAACTTGACTGGAAAATAAGAAGAGTGAAAGAGAATTAGAAGACTTTAGTGAGGGGAAAGGAAATAAAAGAAGAGGAATTAAGAAGACAGAAGATGACGATTGACATTACATTGATATTTTTGAAGATCAAAGTTGACTGGAAAGTAAGAAGAGTGAAAGAGAATTAGAAGACTTTAGTGAGGGGAAAGGACAATAAAAGAAGAGGAATTAAGAAGACAGAAGATGACGATTGACATTACATTGATATTTTTGAAGATCAAAGTTGACTGGAAAGTAAGAAGAGTGAAAGAGAATTAGAAGACTTTAGTGAAGTGAAAGGACAATAAAAGAAGAGGAATTAAGAAGATCAAAGTTGATTTGAAAGCAAGACGCCAGAAGAGAGTTCCAGAAACGAGAAGTGCAATAGAAGAAACTATTAGCATAGAACTTACGGTTTAATCTATCCATTTCATCTCTAATATGATGAGACCTAACTGCCAACTTAGTATTGTGCTTAGATTCAAAAAGTTGCGGTATCAAAGAGGAAGGCTCATCAGAACAAGGCACAGGGAAGGTACGCTACGGTTGTGGGAAAGTGACTGAAGCCGAGATGCCAGGTCAGGACCAATAACATTGATGATAATTATCAAGAATTTCTAAATACATAGCAGAAACACTAGCAACATGGCATTTAAAATTTCGAAGATTAAATTTGAGAGGAAACTGTTAGCATAGAAATTACGATTACATCTATTAATTTCAAGTGTAAAATGATGAGACCCAACTGCCAATCAAGTACTGCGCTTAAATTTTACCATGCTATATTTTGTTCGTTAAATCGTTATTATCGTGATAAAGCTTATACTTTTTTTTAATCATTTCACCCCGAGCAAGGCAATAAATCCACTGAGACGCAAGTGATTAATTGAGTGTGAAAGAATATTAGAAAAAGAAAAAAATTATTAAGGAGAGAGAACAATAAAAAAAAAATAGGAGTCAAGAAGATAAAAAAAAATAACGGTTGAAATTAAATTTAATTTTTGGAAGATGAGACCTGACTGACAGACTAGTACCGTGCTTAAATTCGTCAAGGTTCCAAAGAGGAAAGCTCACCAGAAGAAATCGGTAAAATTCCCACGTCATTGCCTAGATTTATAATTCGTTACAAACAGTATGTAGGTAGTAGTTTTTGAGTCTTTCTTTGAGGAGAAGCAGTTCTAACTGTCTTAGATTCTTGTAATTTTAGTATATCATTATGATATATCTAATAAGCAAATCTGCCAAATTATGTTATTCCAGGTTGAAAGAGACGGTTGTAACAGCTCTTTGAATCCAACGTACTAAACACTGCTCTTCACATCTGACGAGTTTGCAGAATGCAATCAGGACATGAAGACAATTTAGAAGTTCGCTATGTAATAAAGTTTTTTTGTTGTTGAGAGAAATGGACACTAAAACTGTCCCCCAGTCTCCCTACAGTCCAGACTATGCTCCCTGCTACATTGGGTTGATCTGTAGCCTGAAGGAGAACCTCGGGGGCAGTCGTTTTGAAGACACTGAGAAGATGAAGGGTGCTGCGACAAGGGTCCTGGACACCTTCATTTTGGATGACTTCACTGGAGCCTTCACGAAGCTCCTGGTGCTCTCCCAAAAGTACACTGGTCAAGAGAATGAGATAGATAGATAGATAGATAGATAGATAGATAGATAGATAGATAGATAGATAGATATGAACAGACTGAGCTAGCTAGATGAGTGACAGAACTAATTTCAACTCGCAATTTCAACTCTGAACTAATTTCAACTCGATTTAAAAACCCTAACCTTAACCATTGGTTCAGAGTTGAAATTAATTCTGCTAGCTAGCTAGCTAGATAGATAGATAGATAGATAGATAGATAGATAGATAGATAGATATAAACAGATACATATGAACAGTCTGCGATAGATAGATAGATAGATAGATAGATAGATAGATAGATAGATAGATAGATAGATAGACTGAGCAGGATAGATAGATATGAACAGACTGCGCTAGATAGATAGATAGATAGATAGATAGATAGATAGATAGATAGATAGATAGATAATGAATATATGAGAAGATAGATATGAACAGAGATAGATAGATAGATAGATAGATAGATAGATAGATAGATAGATAGATAGATAGATAGATAATGAATATACTGAGCAAGATAGATATGAACAGGCTGAGATAGATAGATAGATAGATAGATAGATAGATAGATAGATAGATAGATAGATAGATAGATAATGAATAAATTGACTTAGATAAATAGATAGATAATGAATAAATTGATATATATATATATATATATATATATATATTGATAGATAGATAATGAATAGATTCAGATAGATAGATAGATAGATAGATTGACTGATAATGAATAGATTGAGACAGACAGACAGACAGACAGATGGATTCAGAGGTTTTATAGATTTAGATTAGTAAGTCTGACCTGCCAAATTTTCTTATTCCATATTGAAGGCGACGGTTGTAAGAACTCTTTGAACCCACCATACTTTTTGAACCCACCCTACTCTTTGAACCCACCCTACTTTGAACCCACCCTACTCTTTGAACCCACCCTACTAAACCCTGATTGTCACAGTTCGACTAGTTCTTAAAATGCAGTCGGGACGTGAAGACAATTTGGAATCACGCTATGTAAATAAAGTTTTGTTTTGAAAGAAATGGGCATCAAAACTGTTCCTCAGTCTCCCTACAGTCCAGACCATTCTCTCTGCATCTTTTAGTTGTTCTGCAGCCTGAAGGAGAACCCCAGGGGCAGTCGTTTTGAAGTCATTGAGAAGATGGAGGAGGCTGTGACGATAGAGCAGGTTGACTTTTTTTTAGAAATCAACATTGCACTCGATGTGAAAGTTGGAGTTTAATCTGATTAGAACTAACGCGAAATAATTAGATTCATAGCTTTTACCAATTTTGGAGCATTTAAAGTTAAATATCGCCTGAAAACTGTACAGAAATACCTATTTTCCGCAGGTTTTTGCTTCCAAACTGGCTTCAGAATTTTACTATTTTAAGAATAAATCCAAATAACGTTGATATTTTTTGTATTCGATACAGTGAATGGAAAATATATTCAAACTCTAATTATGAATCACCATAAGCAAAATATGCAATTTTTTTATTAGATTCGAAAAGTAAAAACTGTGTCAAAAATTGAAAACATTACAAAAAAATCTGCTCAATGAATAAGATTTGTTAAATCATAATTAATAAAAACAAAAAAAAATAGATAAAAGTGTATATAACACAATACTGGTCACAAATTATAAGATAAAATTTGTTTATTGAAAATTACACTAAAACCAGTGCACTGTATAACATAACATCATAATATAGTTAAATTGTTCAGTCTAATTTCCCTTTTGAAGTAAATGAAAGTCTTATCTGATGTCACAATGATTTAGTAAAGTACTTGTGACATACATGTTGTCCATACACAATTTGTACAGTAAATTATAAATTTTATGAGACTGTGCTCTAAGGCTTTCATTGATCACCGGAATGAAATTCCAACGCTACGATTTTGAACATAAACTTAATCTTTAAACTCGTGACCTCAAAAAAAGATAAAAGATATATTTGTGTAATTTTGGTAAATATATCTCTTAAAATGAGATGCCAGTATTATTTTCCTTTTGGGATCATTTAGACGACAATTTATCCATCGCACCCTGTATAACACATAACATCATAATATAGCTAAATTGTTCAGTATAATGTCCCTTTGAAGTAAATGAAGGTCTTATTTGATGGCATAATGATTTAGTAATAATGTTCTTGTGTCACACATCTTGTCCATATACAATTTATAAAGCTTCAGTAAACTATAAATTTTATAAGGCTGTGCTCTAAGCCTTTCACTGATCACCGGAATGAAATTCAAACGCTACGATTTTGAACCTAAACTTAATCTTTAAATTCGTTTCCTGGAAAAATGGTAAAGATTTGGAAAAAAAATATTTTGCGTCGTTATTTATCATGTCAAAGCCCAATTTTCAAACTGAGTGCAATACCACGATTCCAAAATTGACCTGTCCTACAATGACAACGGTCCTGGACACCTTTACTTTTGAATAATTTCTATGGGATCTTCACGGAGCGACTGAAGTGTTACAACACAAGTGCTTTGAAGACAGAGGGTTCTCATTCTCACTCTCACTCTCTCTTTCCCTCATTCTCTCTTTTTCTCCTTCACTCTCTCTCTCTCACCGTTTCTCTCCCACTCA